CACTTTTCTCTTTAATCTGTGATATTCTAGATCTCTAGGCGTCTCGTTACTCAAACATTATAAGAAAAACAAAATGCAAAAAAATCGTTACGGAATTTCACTCCGGTAGCAGAGATGGCTGGCCAGATCGTGTTATAAATTCTGACATTTGAACGTAGAAAAGCCAAAAATTATGTATTGGATAATTCGGGCTAAGCGCTTAAGGAAGTAACTGACAAATATTTTAAAATACTCTTGGATTTTTGCGGTACTTATCAGCAATCGTAGTCTTACTTACTAACATGACTATAAAACAGAAATAATACTCTTTTTAATCTATTTTCTGATTAAAATAACACTAAAGCACAGTTATGGTTTTTTCAGAGTATTTTTCATTGCATCTAGGCATTCTTGACTTGTAATTGCGTCAAAATATTCTCTTTTTTCTTCTTCTGTTGCGACTAGCGACTGCACGTCTTTCCACCATTTATTTTTGCACACTTGATAACCAACTAAAGGTCTTTTTGATTGCAATCGAAGCCAATTCAGGGCGAGTTGATCGGGATTTTCACCCATTTCATTTCCAAGACCCATTTTGAAGGCATCGGTGGATGTTATCAGATTTGCATCAAAAATTAATTTCCTAACGGACGATGGTGGCAATTGTTTTCTAAGTGCTTTTATTATTTTGAAAGGAAATGGTATGCCAACTGCAATTTCCGTTAATCCAAAATAAAATTGTTTTTTATTTCCTAATGCTACATAATCACAGGCTACAGCAATAATCGTACCACCCGCTATAGCATGGCCATTCACTGCAGCAGCAACTGGCTTTGAACAAGAAATGGGTGATAATACACCAGATGGTAATGTTTCGAAGAAAAACTTATCAATAGCAGAACGATCTTTTGCTTTACACATGTCATGTCCAGAAGACAAATCGACACCACCCGAAAATGTTGACCTAAAAACAGAGTCAGAGGTGAAACTAAATATTTAATAGCTGATCTCCAATCTGCAGGTGGATAGACGGAAAAAATCATTCTTTAGTTCAGACAAAACTTCCAATACCATCTTGATCATGTCGCGGCTGCTACGTCATTTTTCCTATGTTCTGAATACTCATATTGATAAAAAAGAATTATAATCGAATAGAAAAATGTAACGCACCCAAAATCTGAAGTGTTGAATACTGATGTCGAAGTGCTGATCAGTAACTAGATACTGCGAGACACACATGAGGACCCAACCTAACCCGATCCGCACATATAGAACTGTTGATCGCCAGTGAGACACAGAAACACAGACATAACAACTCAACCCAACCCGACCACTGATGTCGAAATGTTGATCATTAGCGAGACACACATGACAACTCAACCTGACCGAACCCAACCGAGAGATGGAGAGTTGTTGAATCACAGTCAAATACAGCAAGCACCATGGACAATAAGTAAAGCGCAGTTGACAATACGTGACTTTTATCAAACTCCTAAGGAGTTACTATTTGTCAGACTCCCCTTCAATCTGCAGATGGATAGATAGAAAAATTAGTCTTTAATTCAGTCAAATCCTCCGATACCATTTTGATCATGTCGCGGCTGCTACGTCATTTTTCCTATGTTCTGAATACTCATATTGATAAAAAAGAATTATAATCGAACAGAAAAATGTAACGCACCCAAAATCTGAACGAAGGAGAACACCTTTGACTTCAGAAGCTGTTGATGCTTGTTGAAATACGCGTGCCAAATCTGTTAAAAGTTCTGAATTCATTGCATTCACTTTTGGACGTTTCATAACAATAGTCATTATAGAATCAGATACACTCACTGCAAGCGTCTTGAAAATATTAGACATCGTTTTGTCGACGAAGAAAGCCTAATATGACTCTAAAAGAAAGCATGACAAATTATACAGACTTTCAATACAAAAACGTTCCAGCTTTCTAGACTAAATAATTACAGTCTTAAAACTTTCGAGGATACAATTCTTGATTCAACAGAGAGTAGACAAATATCATGAATGAGACAAGGATATAATAAGGTTTAGTGTTCACCTAATGTTGAGATAATCGAATTCAGTTTTAACGTTAACTAATTCTTCTTGTTCAGTGAAAATAATACCTTTGTATTAGAAACACTGTACATTATAGTGTTGTATAGATTTATAGTTATTGTTTACAGGTTACAAAGTTCAGTTCGGAAGTCACAAGTTCTTGAGCTTTCTTTCAGCGAAATTGAGGTGAGAAAAACGTTGGACAAAAAGCATTGATAGTAATATATGTACAAACGAATACATTCAGCCGTCCGATTTCATCATTCTTTTCGAGCACATGTTTAAAGTCGCTGCGAGTGAAAATTTAAGATGTCATCCAGAAAATTGTCTATTAATTGCGAATTGATACAAACCGTTCCACGGTTAATTGTTCAGTTTTGTTTTTGCTGAGCAAGCGAAAGACACAAGATCAATCGAAACTCATATTTCAATAAGTGATGAAAAAAAATTTCGAAGTTTTTTGATAGGCCATGTTGTTTTTATATATGTATGATGATTCAAAACAAACCGGTCATCATTTAACTGCCATTTTTCCTGAATAACACGATTAATCGACGATTTTTGATAAAAATAAATGATATGGATTAGGAAGAAGTTTGAACAGAAAACATTCAATATGAATTCTTTAACAAGATTCTTCAACAGGTAAAATTGCAAAGTGTTACTATATCAATCGTCACACTTTATTCTCTTTGCATTATTGTTTTTAATTCGTTTTAGACTCAAGATAAGACACAATAACGGATTAATATGATTTTTCATTGTATATTGTATTGCAGCTGAAAATGTAGAGCATCATCTCAGATATTCATGGAACACTATCTGTATTTAGGTGTACTCGAATGAATAATCGTCAAGTTTCCTTTTTAAAATATTAAACAATTCGAATTTTTATAGACATAATCCAGTGTAATACAAATATCCAATGGGAATAGTGTAAATAAAATGAATACGATTAACATTTAGTATCAAATAAAAAAAATTAAAATCGCACGTTCTTCACGTCGTTTTTTTATTACAACTGACCCTGAAACAACCCTGAAAGATAGCCAGAAGATCAAAAGACAGTTCTACTTTTAGGCTGATAAATAAATTTTCCTGTATCTCCTTGATCTCTCAGTTTTCTAGAAAATAAACTTACTGTATATTATATCGCTTATTTGTTAATCCCAAACTTTTTCAACTTTTTCTCTCCACCGGAGGGGAGAGTCTTGCAACCTTTAAATGCATCTCAGTGTGTGTGTGTGTGTGTGTGTGTGTGTGTGTCCAAACACTCAGTATTGGTCATCTTTTATATCCAATAGATATGCAAAGTGATAAATGGCGCTGCGTGACAGACGTACATACATATCATCCTGTGGCAGTGCGACGGACGTACATACATATAGTGACCAGTGAGTGTGACGGAGGTACATACATATAGTCACGACAACGATTAAGATGTGACTCGAGGAATTTGTGCTATTACATTAGATGTAAAAAATGCGATGACGGATATGTAGGACAAACTGGCATCCCGATGAAAGAAAGATTCTATCGCCACACATCACAGATACGTATCATTCGTACCACGTCTATAGGTAAACACTTTAGTGAGAACGGACACTCAATTAGAGACGATTTCACTGTCCCATTTGAGGAGGATACTTAAACGACGACCATCCTACGGCAAGAGAATCTACGTGGATCAGAAAACTCAATTCTAATCTTAACATTAAAGATTAGAACTGGGTATTTTTACGGGTTCAATTTTTAACTTTTTTTTAAAAACAGAATTTTTTGAAAAAGAATTTTTTCTATAGAGAGTTTTCTGAAGGAAAGGCAACCGTAAAATGTTTACTCAAGATTTTTCGTTAGCAGTAGCTTCTCCGTTAGCCTAATTATACATCTTACACTACCATCTACGAACTAGTTAAATAAGGATTTCGATTGGGTCAGTTTAATGCGAGCTGACGAGGAGAGTTCACCAAGGCATCATCTGGGAACATACATTCTTATAGAGAATTCCAGATGCTGATCTCAAATCCAGTGATCTCATAGATGTTTCTTGGTAGAACTTACAGAAATTAGGTGTCATAAGAACTATTATGAGCATACAATCGGATTTATGTCAGTCCACAATGTATGGAGAGGCGTCCTTATGACACTGTTGCATCAATATATAACAGATAGACAGGTCTATCATCCTCGATCATGTCAAATATTTCTCATGAACAGTAGAATAGTGAAAGTACGTATGAAATGCATGAGTCCAAAAATGAACATGTATTAATCACAGCATTGTAAGAATATTTGATCAAACACAATTGAATTTGATTAAAAATTGACGAAACTAGCTTGACTATCATCTCCGTCCCATAATTTAGGCGCAAATGTTGTACAGTTTTGAAATTAGTGTTGTTTAGAGAAAAAGATATGTTTAATTTAATTTTTCCTAACAATTTTATTTTGTTTGCATGATCATTTTCAAATGTTTAATAAAAGTGCTGAGAAAAAACAACACACAGTAAAAGTAATGTCGTGGAAAGATTTTTTACCTCAAGATAGTTTATTATCACCACAGCAGAGTATAACTTTGTCAAGTCCACTATCGATTACGTCTGTCACATTCTATTCTAAATTTGAACAAAATAATTCTCTCAATAAACATCAATTGATATTGAATACGAACAACAATAACAAGAGAAAACACAAAATAAAGAACAGAAAAGTAAAATCAGAAAAAGTCATTCAAAAATCCATGACAAAAGGAAAAATAACACACCAGAAGAAGAGTTGTTTATTTAATAAAGTTGTCTCATCAAAATATTCCGCCAATTGGTGTAAACTTCTACAGAATGCTGTTGAATGGACAAAAATAAAAGAGAAATTAGAAAAAGATCGATTTGATTTACCTGAGAAGAATCAGATCAAATTGCAAAAGCCATTTTATAATGATCTCTTTCTTTCTAACCCATTTAATCTCAAATTTTATATTAATACGTGTAGAAAAAATCATGATATCTTCTAATCTAGAGATTTAACGAATGGTTTAACCATGACAACATTGAAAGTCTATTTTGTATTCGAAAGTTTATTCCTTAATTTTAATATTAGGCTATTCAACTAATTTAACATCAATATTATCCTCCATAATGTTTAATTTTTCTGAATTAATATTTTATATCTTTATTATCTAAGTTTCCGTCGTTTTTGACAGACATATGAGGTTTCGTGTTAATAAATTTTTATTTTTTAAAATTAATATGTGCCTGACAACATAAGAGTTAATCTGATCAAATTGCTTCTTGTGAAGATTATTAAAATTTAATAAATTGGCTTTTTGTTTATAAAACACATAAAAATAAAGGCACAAAAAGATTTAATCACTATACTCTGGACAATAACTATAATTCAAGCAAATACGACAGACAATATTTGTTTATCACAGTTAATTATTTTATCATTGATAATCGGACTATAGATCTCAACCAAAGCAAGTAAGTGAAAACAAATGAATATAATGACATTAAAAGCGTGTCAAGCAACATGAAAATATTGTCAATGAATAATAAAACCAGTGTTCAACTATTCTTACAAAATGGTATCTATAGTTAATTAGTCTCTAATTTTTTGTGCATCAGACTATCGCATTTAGAAGGAAATAAGAATCAGTGTTCCTAATTTCGTAGGTACTTTTACTATTTTACTGTTTCATGAAAAAAATTTGACATAATCGAAAATGATAGACCTGTCTATCGGTTATATACAGGTGCAAAAATCTGCTGATCTATGCTAGTTTTCCAGATATATTTGAATGGAAGACGCATAGTTTAGGTTAGATATGTATCAGTTATGGATCGATTATTTCTGACTGTTGTGGAGGGTATCCAAGAAAATTGTTATAAAAGCGGCTATTAAAAATGACTCTGACTTGTGAAACGTCTCATTTGTAGAAAGATGTTTGATCTATGTTTTTACACCAAACAAAACAAAAATAAAAGATAAAAGAGAGAAGGTTATGGTTTACGCACATCTACCATTCGAATATATCTGAACAATTAACATGGATTTTTAAGAAATTTTTGCACCACTGTGTGGGAAATATGCGGCTCTACCATTTGGTTCGTGTTAATTTTTTTTCGTGAAGAAGAAACGAGAAATAATATAAGTATGCACAAAGTTTTCTAACACTGTCTCTTCTTCCCATCCGTAATCCTCTACGTTGTGATTAGAAACAGGTATGCCTCTTTGAAAGTATCATTTTTATCTTCTTCTAATATTGTCCCCAACGATTGGTAGTAGATGTTTACTCTCGTTTTCTTTGATCTCTTTGACATTCTCTATAGATGATCGATAATGAACATTCAATTATTGAAAATTGTGATATTAAAATCCTCATTGTTCACTATGAACAAAAGTAATGATAAATGGATATGGTGTGGTGTCATTCTAACCATATTCTAATTGTCTGACACTATTCGTACGTAAAATGATACATTTAAATGAATATAAAAGAAAATGTTGTAAAATTCTATATACGTCTTCAAATAATGAGTCTACATTACTAAAAAATAAATGTAATCTGTATGGAATTGTTTTTTTGAATGCAAATCATAAGAGAAAACGCGAGAAGAAAAAGATCGACGAAGAATATTTTGAAAAAATTATTATTCTTTCTTTTGAGTTGATTGCTGCTTGTAATGATGAAGATGATGATCCAATTTTTATCAAGGCATCCTATTTTAATCAAAAATAAACATCCAATGTAAAGATATTCTCATGAGACTTTCAACTTTCTAAGACTGTTGATTGAGTTAAATTAAGAAAGAACTGATTTTTAAACTTCATTATATTCATTATGTTTGTTACAATGTCGAATAACAGCAATCCAATTGTGCATTAAACTCAGTGTGTAAGTAATTGAATCAGGCAAGATAATGAAGACTGTCAAACGTTCATATCCCTTCTCTCATAGATTTTTCAAATTGGACTACCTAATTTAAGAATTATAAAACATGTATAAATTAAGTCAACATTTTTTTTATTGTATCCGTTAATCATAGAATTGTACAAGAATGGCCGAATTAACTAGAATTATTGGTAATGGAAAAGCGGCTGAATGTGTGGGCAATATCAAATTTCGAAAAGGTAGTTCAACAACAATATTTAGAAATTTTCATCTATTCATATGATCTGATTAATCTTTTTTATTTAGAATCTGTTCAAGTGAGTGAAAATTCTGTATCGGAACGAGGAACTACTACTACTACAACAACGTCAACAGTATTAAGTACAGCTTCTCCATCTTTGTGTCATGCAGACACGGAAGCCATTGTATGTAGAAATACAACTTTCATTGAAACTGTTGAAAAATTACCAATACGAGAACAATGGACAAATAAAGTAGAATTTCTTCTATCAGTTATTGGCTATGTTGTCGATCTCGGTAAGAATTTATCATTAATCAAAGTACTAGTTTCTATTGACTTTTTATTGATTCTAGGCAATGTATGGCGTTTTCCATATATGTGTTTCGATAATGGTGGTGGAGCATTTCTTATACCCTATATGATATTTCTTTGTGTTATCGGTATACCAATGATGTGAGTATTAATCAAATTAAATTTAAAATAAAAACAAAATAGATTTTTTAAAAATATTTTCTCTTATTTAGGTATTTAGAACTGTTTCTTGGTCAAAATTATCGATGTGGAAATATTACATTATGGGGTCGTATATCTCCATCAATGAAAGGAATTGGAGTATCTTCATTTTTAATTGTTACTGCTGTCACTCTATTTTATACTACTATAATTGCTCATGCTGTATTCTATTTATTTGCATCATTTCGTGAAATAATGCCTTGGAGTTTATGTTCTCATTCATGGAATACACTCAATTGTGTTGAACGTATGCGATTAAATCAAAATGAATTAGATAAAATTAATTTTGTTGAATCAAATCAAATAACATCATATAAAAATATGACAAATTTATTTAATTTAACAACAATGTCACCTCTTTTCTTTTCATCCTTAACAAATTTTTCAAATAATAATAATAGTAATCAATCATTACCCATCATTCAAAAGACATCATCGGCTGATGAATACTACAATATCTATATGTTAGGTATTAATCGATCATCTGGTCTTACAAATTTATCTAATATTAAACTTGATCTATTATTATGTTTAATATCAATATTTATTCTAATGTATATTTGTATCTATCGAGGTGTCAAATCAACAGGTAAAAAAAATAAGAATTAAAAATTTTAGAAGAATAAAAAATAATAAAATTATTTTTATATAAATATTTAGGTAAAGCTGTCTATATTACTGCTATACTACCCTATTTGGTACTTATTATTCTATTAGTCCAAGGTCTCAATTTAAAAGGTTCTCGTGTTGGTATACAATATTTTTTAAAACCTAATTTTCAAAAATTAAAAGATATGAAAGTATGGTTTAGTGCTGCAAATCAGATATTTTTCACACTTGGTCCTGGTTTATCTGTACTAACAACATATGGCAGTTATAATTTATCAAATAATAATTGTTATTATGATGCTTTAATTGCTGTTGTAGCTAATTTTACTGCAAGTTTTCTTGCTGGATTTGTCGTCTTCTCAGGTTTGGGTCATATGTCATATCGATTAAAAAAACATATTACCAAAGTTGTTGGTCAAGGACAAGGTGCATCATTATCATTTATTGCTTATCCAGAAATATTAGCTACATTTAAATATCCAACATTTTTTTCTATTTTATTTTTTTTAATGGTAATTAATTTGGGTTTAGATAGTGATTTTGGTGGTTTAGAAGCAATGTATACAGCATTAAGTGATGAATATCCATTATTAAAACGAAATAGAAAATCAGGAATGTTAATTATGTGTGGTCTACTTATTATAGCATGTTTACCAACAGTAACTCAAGGAGGAAATTATGTTGTACAATTCTTAGATAAATTTTCAACAGCCCCATCATTAATGTTAGTTGTCATGTTAGAAGCAATAGCAGCAACATGGGTAAATAAATAGAAGATTTATTTTTTTTTTTTTTTGTGAATTAATTTAATTCTATTATATTTATTTATTTAGATATATGGTATTAAAAATTTGGTGAATGATATGCGAGTGAACTTAGGTTTTGAACCAAATCTTTTTTTTCGCATAGCATGGACAGTTTTATGTCCACTTATTGTTATTTTATTAATGATTTTAAGTTTAACCTATTCTGATGCATTGACATACGGTAATTATGTATTTCCTCAATGGTCAATTGTATTTGGTTGGTGTTTAAATATTTGCTTTATATTACCGGTACCATTTTATATTTTACGAACATTTTTTCGATCTACTCGTGGAACAATAAGAGAACGTTTACAACGATTATTTCAATCGAATAAAAGTTTAATCAAATGGCAACAAGAAAATGGTGCAATTGCAAACGTTTAAACTATGTAGTTATTACTGTATAAACATACAAAAAACAAATTAAAATAGAACAGATTTTTTTTTTTTTTTTTTTTTATTGTTGAAATAATTATTGTATTTGATTCGCTTCATATCCAAACCAAGCCTGTGAACTTTTTTTCAAAGATCCTTTTTACTTCATTCAGTATCTTAGACTTCATCAATGACAGACATTGTTTAACGTCAAAAACATAGCAATATCAAGGAACGTGTAAAGAAAGAAAAGAAAATTATAAACGAGAAGCTTTCAGTTATTAATAACAGTTGTATGTATGATAGCTACTTTTCAAAGTGAAAGAGAAAACAAAAATAAAACATTATAAATTACTTAAATCAAATATTCGGACATTCAAATAAATACATGAAAAGATTAATGATTTTGTCGTTCATTAGTTAATTACTTAGAAACTGATTATATATAACTTATTTGATATTTTGGTTACAAACCATATACTTTATAATAATTTTTCTCATATATAATAAATATATCTATTTTGTCCTCATTTCAAATAAAAATTCCTTTAATATACAACATCAGTTATTAATAAAAGTTGCAAAATAAATATCATCAAAAACGCTCAAAAATAATTGTTACGGATGATAGACGTTATTCATTCTTTGTTTTTCTCTCCAAAAAAAAAATATATTTTGTGGAATATTTTATGTAAACACTAATTATTAGATCAAAAAACTGAGTACGAACAATAACAAGTAGATATTCATTCAGCATCGTTCAAATAATTTCAAAATAAAAAAAAAAGAAAAAATGAACAAGTTAAAAATACAACGAAGATTGTACAACATAGTGTAAAAGTGACAAATAAAATTTTAAAGACATTTATTCTTGTAGTGAATAGGTTTCTATTCTATCCATCTTTAAAATGTCTATTGAAATAACAAATAGTCATTTTGTATCACGTTAGTTTCACAAGTTTTCTCTTCATTTGATTATTAATATTAGGCAAGTATTTACGATATGAAACATGGATATAAATAATACGTTTTTCTGGTACTCTTCTAATTGTTTAATGAGCTCAGTAAATCACTGGAATCGATAATAATTTCTATTAGCATAAAAAGAGCCGTAAACAATGTACACAGAATCATGTGATAATTAACTTAAATCTGCATTTTCTTTTCTTTTTATACGTAGTAAATTCTACTCAACTTAGTGATATGACAACATATACATAGTATTTGATGAGAAACTGATAGCGGGCGTTTGATGTAGATTAAAAGATAATCTAATGTAAAAAAAGAAAAAGATGATCGAAGATAGTTGCGGTTTAGTAAAATGGAGACACGATATGTATCAAGCTCTACATCAGTTGACTTCGTTCGCATCTTTGAGACTTGTGCATTTCTGTATACTGTTTGTCGTTTTTTCCGGTGTAAAGGTCTTACGACTATTTTTTCGATGACGAGTTCTCGAGAGTGCATCTCTAAAATCAGTTGATGTAATTAAATAGATTACAAATGATAAAACATGACTTGTTGTTGCTAGATTACTTAATGACATTGTTAGTAAATTTCGATATTTAAATTTATGGCGGATAAATATGTAGAAGAGTGCCGATGGTGCTGTCAAAAGAATGAAGAGAATATTAATAAATACTAATGATTTTGTTAAAAGTCCTCGTTTCAATGAACGTTTTGAAATATGACGGTTTTTTGTACATTTCAGACGATTATGTGATTCATGAACTTTACGAGCGATTAATATGTTACAAATAATCATAATAGTAGTTGGTAAACAATTATACAACATTAAATGAACAATTTCATAGATAGAAAAAAAGTTTGAAGCATAACATTTTACCTCATATGTTTGACTAGCGTTTACCGATGAATTTTTATTTGATGGGTATCGTTTTCCGTTAAAAACGAATACTGGAATGTTGATGAATAACAGAAGTATAATAATTGTTAGAGATATTTGTTTAGCCGTATCAGCACGATTAAGTCTATTTCTTAGTTTACATTGGTGATGTAGCAAGATACATCGAGCAAGTATAGCCACGGTTTTCAGCCATGCTGAACACTGTAGAGAAAAATAGGCAAAATACGAGATAAGTTTACAAACGATAATACTTGTTTGTTCAAGATTACCATGAGTACGAAATGACTGTGGTGAAAGAAAACGCCAAAGTATTTCTCTCACTGCATAATTCATGTTCCATGTAAACGGAATAATAACTTCAATAAGACCCAAATATGAGAAGACAATAATAGTAGGATTATTTCGATTGGGAACTAAACGTGAGAAGATGTAGAAACATATAAGATTTGCCGGTGTACCAATAATGATTAATATTAACGAGTAAATGCCCGATAATAGATAGAAAGTTTCAGCTACGTCGTGAATCATAATTGTTAAATATAATACTTGAGATAGGTCATATTGCTATACATCTGTCAGTTGCACTGTATTGCCTATAACCAAACCAGACAAAACATAAAAGAAGTAGAGAAAATTATAGAATCACATTAATACTCATATACCATACAAAATAGAACAGAATAATGTGGGCATATATTATATGAAAATCAATGTCACTTACATTTCTTCGTAAATTACTTTTCTGTGAAATATGATAATATGTACATCTTACTTTTCTATTAAATGACAACTACTAACGGACAAACGCTTTCACAAACGTGTCACACGTACACACCTGCATTAAAATTATCATAGTGCAGCACAGGCATAAAATATTTTACGAAACCTCAATGATTTTAAAAATGAAAAATTTGCTCTTTACTTATCAAGTCAAGTACAGTGGGGCGTTTTTTATGATTAGCAGTAAATTTATTTGATTCCTCAACAACAAGATTAATTTCGACCTACAATGAAATGTAATATGAGCTACCACCCCTGATGGATCTTATTGTATCTTATCTATATACTATACATGACATATATACATTATCCTGTACTTAATAAAAAAAAATAAAGAGAAAAAAAGAATCTCATACATCAGCTATCAATTCTTATATATGAGTGTTAAAACTCTTATCTGAAAATTTTTAAGTCTTTAACAAATAATTAGTAAGAATTAATATAAATCTAACTAAATTTTTCTATAAAATTTCTCATAGTAATGTCAAGACGCCATCTCGACTGAGAACAATTTGAAACTGTGCATTTTTGAAGGCGAACAATATTTTATAATCTATCTCAAAGGAGAATATATTCAGCTGCTGCACTCTCGAATGACAACAATTTATAAACTTATTCTTAAAGGAAAACATTTTCAAACAGTACACTCTAGAAGGAGAACAAATAGCCACTGCAATAGATGCTAACAGGTAGTGATTTTGTGATTGTAAAGAATATAAACAAAATACATATTCAAGCTTCCGTACCCGAAACTTCGTTGTTTAAAAGATCATCTGACAAACTGTACAAGATTCTATAACATGGTTTTCTACCAACATTAAAATACTCTTGAAAATCTACACAAATATTGATGCTTTCGAGGAAAGGACACCAACTGTCTAATCGCTTTTAGGTAAAGACTTACTGAACAATAGGTAATCGGGTGTCCTGAAGCCGAATATGATAATGGTTTTTGCTGCTAGACCTGAGTTTTCTAGAAAACCAGAGTTTAAGGTTGAAAAACTTTTTGAGGTCAAATTTTTTTTTGATGTGTTCAAATGCAAGAGCACATCGAAAAACCTATGAGAAACAGCTTTTCAAAATTCTTGGAGGGTTTTGGAGCGGTTTGTATAGGTCAAAATCTAAAATACCGTCGGAAAAACCGGTATTTCGTTCCTACGCATTTCACGTCAGAAAGACTCCAGCGACTAGAGAGAAGACCTCTCGTGCTCAAATTCGGAATCAGCACACTTGATTACCTAGAAATCACTCACTTTCTTACGT